AACTGATGATGGAATAAAAACTGATGCACTTGTAGAACTGATTGACATATTCCCTTCACTGACTGAACTAGCAGGAATAGATGTACCTCCAATGTGTACTGACAATAGTGCCAAGTCCATTGCTTGTGTAGAGGGTAGTAGTGTGACCCCTTTACTAAAGAATCCAACCATGGAATGGAAGAAGGCATCTTTCTCACAATATCCAAGACCTATTGGTGGGCTTAAACAGATTCCTGGGAAACCACCATTTGCAGGAAATGAACATGGGGAAAATGTGATGGGATATACAATGCGTGTTGACAAGTATCGTTTCACTGAATGGTACAAATTTGATCGTGACACTTCAAAACCAAACTTTAATACTACATGGGGTACTGAACTTTATGATCATTCTACTCCATCTACTTTTTTTAATGATGAAAATGTCAATTTAGCTTATAAACCAGAAATGAAAGAAACTGTGGAAGAGTTGCGTAAAATGCTTCAAGCTGGCTGGAGGCATGCTCTTCCTCCTAATAATGGACCTTGACATTACTTCATATATAGTGTTTGCTGCATGCTCACAGCTGTTATAATAACTATAAGCTACACTATATATGTGCTAATTGAAATGTGCTAATTGAAATAAATTCAGCTTTAATAATTTTATTTACTCATAAGCTGCAAATACATGCATGATTTATTATGAATCTAGTAATTGAAATGTAGTATAGTTTAGTATTACCGGTAAGTTACAGCAGAGTTCAGGAATCTATAGATCTAATCCATTTAATGAACTGATGCAAACATTCTGCCATAAGATCTACAAGGTATAGCACTATCTAGGAATATGTTTGGCTAACTATACTTTACATTGGCAAGTACACTGTCAATTAACTTGAGCAAAAAAGTTTTAAAATAAAGTGCTACATATTCAATGATTTTTTTCCATAAATTTCTCTTTAATCTTTTTCAACAGATCTTCTCCTCCTTTGAGTGCATCAGTGCTAGTCAGAGCTAAAGTGGTGGCAGTGAAATGAGTTTGTTCATGAGCTTGAGGAGTATTGGTGAATTGATTGAATTCCCTTGTATGATTAACTTCTCCTGATCCAACTGCATAAGTAGGATGCAGAAATGGGACTACATATGATACATTAATTTACCCATGTCAGTCAACCACAAAACCACATCTTCATAAGAATATTGAATCCCACTTTGCTCTAATTGTGTGTGATAGAGGTTTTTGAGGATTGGGTTAGAACAAAGATCAGTATAAGTTTTATCGGTCTCCTTGATGTCCACAATACAACCAGTAGCTTCAGCAGCAGCTCACAGCAATCCATTACTTTGCTATAGAAATGTTTAAGCTTGTGTAGTCTCATACTTCTGATATTAAATAGTAATGACGCTTTCTCAGGTATAATATTAGGTTTAGTTCCACCATTAGTGAAGACAGCATGTACACACCAAGAAGGCTTCATTCGTTGCCTAAGAAATGAATGCTAACATAGCAGTCCTTCCCAAGAAAAAGCTGCTACATGTGCTGCTTTACCAGTATATTCAACAGATACAGTGACTATGGCACATACATGACCAACTATACATTCCTTTGGTGCAGGATGGACCATCATGGCTACATCAATTCCATCAAATGCCCCTCTCTTTATTAATGCTATTTTTCCACCTCCTTCCTCTTCCGCTGGAGTGCCCAGTACAGTGATGGTACCAGGTGAGCCTGTTGTCTCTATGTATGCTTTTACTCTCAGACCAGCAGCTACTCCTGCTTCAGCA